CCCACTACTTCCCTTGGAAGGCTGTTCCAGAACTTCACTCTTCTAATGGTTAGAAACCTTCGTCTAATTTCGAGTCTTCCTGATCACCAGTTTATATCCATTTGTTCTTGTGTCCATATTGATATTGAGCTTAAATAATTCCTCTCTCTCCCTGGTATTTACCCCTCTAATATATTTAAAGAGAGCAATCATGCCCCCCCTCAGCCTTCTTTTGGTTAAGGTAAACAAGCCACGCTCCTTGAGTCTCCATTCACAAGACAGGTTTTCCATTCCTCAGATCATCCTAGTGGCCCTTCTTTGTACCTGTTCCAGTTTGAATTCATCCTTCTTAAACATGGGAGACCAGAACTGCACACAGTATTCCAAATGAGGTCTCACCAATGCCTTGTATAGCGGCACTAACACTTCCTTATCCCTACTGGAAATACCTCGCCAAATGCTTCCCAACACCAAATTAGCCTTTTTCACAGCCATGTCACAATGGCGGCTCATAGTCATTCTATGATCAATCAGGACTCCGAGGTCCTTCTCCTCTTCCGTTATGATGTGTCCCCAGCTTATAACTAAAATTCTTGTTATTAATCCTTAAATGCATAACCTTACACTTCTCACTATTACATTTCATCCTATTGCTATCACTCCAATTTACAAAATCATCCAGACCTTCCTGTAGGATATCCCGATCCTTTTCTGAATTGGCAATACCTCCCACCTTTGTTTCATCTGCAAACTTTATTAGGGCACTCCCACTTTTGGTGCTAAGGTCAGCAATAAAAAGATTAAATAAGATTGGTCCCAAAACTGATCCCAGGGGAACTCTGCTAGTAACCTGCCTCCAACCTGACAGTTCACTTTTCAGCATGACTCGCTGTAGTCTACCTTTTAACCAGTTGCTTACCCACCTGTCAATTTTCATATTGATCCCCATCTTTTCCAATTTAACCAATAATTCCCCATGTGGTACTGTATAAAATGCCTTACTAAAATCAAGGTAGATTAGATTCACTGCATTTCCTTTATCTAAAAAATCTGTTACTTTCTCAAAAAAGGAGATCAGGTTGGTTTGGCATGATCTACCTTTTGCAAAACCATGTTGTAATTTGTCCCAATTGCCATTAACCTCAATGTCCCTAACTACTTTCTCCTTCAAAATTTTTTCCAAGACCTTGCATACTACAGATGTCAAACTAACAGGCGTATAGTTACCTGGGTCACTTTTTTTCCCTTTCTTAAAAATAGGAACTATGTTAGCAATTTTCCAGTCAAATGGTACAACCCCTGAGTTTAGCATGTGCTACCTTGGTTAAAACCAAAGGGAGGCCAAGTTACAAGTTGATTAGCTTAGCATGTATTAAAATCAATGCCCCCTTGGCTACAGTAGGCTCTTAAAATGTCTTTCATTTACATGATCCAGCAATGCACCTTTAAATCCAGGTCAAGCTAAGACCAAACGTGTATTTTGGGATGTGCATAGATAATTATCCATTTGGATAGTACTATGCCTGTTGCCATGGTGGCATGCCATTTTCATAAGGGTGCATAAAAGCTAGCCCAATGAGGATGGATTCAGAAAGGAAACCTTGCTAACACTGCAAGTGCTCTACTCTCCAACAGCAATGTCATCTGAGTCTTTACAGTTAGACACATTGACACTTCCCTGTCTGATGACATCCCTCCCACCAACTGCCTGGACAGCAGATGAAAGGAAGAGGAGAGTACTTGTGGTTGCCAAAGTAGCAGATTGTACTGTAGCGGTCACCTGTGAGACCTACGAGCAGCGCCTTGGACCTCATGTGCTGGGAGCACATTCCTGCCAGCTCTCTGCTTGAAGACTCCCAGCATTGCCTGCCATGAGCTTAGGAGAGCTCAGCTGCAAAGAGGGTGCAGAGTTGATGACTACAAGGGGCATTCCATTCAAGCAACCAGCTAGCATGTGTTTATTCTACATATGAAGTGACTTAATTATTTGGGGAATCATCATACTTCCGTTGTTTCCACCTTGACCCTGTAATGATTTTTTTTTTTTTTTTTACAGGTTTCTCACATAGCATTCATCTAAAAATAGAAACCTCTTTTCCAATGTAATCAGAATAATGACATTGAACATGCTAATATTGTCAACAAAAGGACACAGAGTCACAGGTTAAGGTAAGGGCTCCCTGTGATGCCCAGTGGGTTATTTTTAAAACCAGTTTCATGGACAATTCATTTGTTCCCTACGTTTATACTATCTAATTCTAGTCAGAGCCATCACGAATAGAGAAAGGAAACAACACAATCTGGCTCCTTTTTTTTTTCTTCCGGAAATTGAGCAAAACAATTCTTTAAATGCAAACAAGACACCAGATCCATTGAAATGCTCTCCGTGGTTCAGACAGAAGTGCCATTTCTTTCTGACGCGCACAGATATTTCTGTTGCAGGGACCCTTCCACTCCCCCTTATTTAACTTGCCACATTTGCATATACATTTGTTGCAGTCTTATACTGCAATGTCCCTTATTTTCTTTCCTCTATCTAGTTCCTGAAAAGTATATACATTTTTTAAATGCCTGCACCTAAGGCCACTATTGGGCCATTGGTGAATGCTTCTGAAAGCCCTACCCTTATTATCTAGTTACCTTTTAAACTCTGCCCATTATCAATGAAGAAGGAAGCCTAACATCATCTTATGTCACCAAAGTGAAGTGCTGGTGAGCAACCGCTACAATGCAGCCACTGGTTTGTCAGTACACTGACAAAAATGCGATACATTGGATTAGTGAAACAACCATGCAACGTGGTGTTACCATCCCTGCACCACAGTCTGTTAAGCTCGTGCTTCTGGTGCAGCAACAGCACAATCAGGCTTTTTTTAAAAAAAAATGTAAACAAATGAACGCATGGCCTGTTTTTTCAGAGCCCCTTTTGCTCCCACTGACATCAAGGGAGAGCCTCTGAAAAACAGCCCGTAACATATAGTTATCATATTCCATCTCCTCCCAAAAGGAAGGAGGAAAACGTTCCTTGAAGATAGAAGGCACACTCTGCTTGCTGAGGTCAATTTTGCTGGCCAGGGAAGAATATTGACTCTACCCTTGTGCTGCCCCATCCCTTCAAGACCATTAAACGGCTTTATGATCACATGGTCTACAGAGGAGAAATTAAGTTAACTTGTACTGAACATGGTAACAGCTCGGCAGGCAGTGAGTTGCAATCACTGTGCCTGACTGGCTAAGGATTGCACAGTGGGGTTCTGCTCCAAGATTGACATTACTATTATTATGCAAAAGTAATAATGATGGTAGTGCCTACAGAGTTATATATTTGTTACTCCATATGCCCCATGCTATCTGTCCTACTTCTTCATCTCAGGAACTCAATGAGTTATCTTCCTGTCGCCCAGACTGGAAGCTTTTTGGAACAGGTTGTCATTTATAACACATTTGCATAGCACCCAGCATAATGGAGGTGAAGCTGGTTGTGGCTGTTAGATGCACAACAGTATAAAAGTTCAACCACCATAACTGAAGTATCACATCTGCCAGACAATGCTCCCAGTGCAGCTCAGGTGATGTCCACCTGAACTGGTCAGAATTGTGGGGAGACAAGGGATTTTGGAGAGGATATCAGAGCCAAGGTTGGTTGTCACTTTGTAAGGGCCATCGGTATTTCCATTTCAAGTCTTCTTGTGGGACTGAAATTTGACTTTATTCTTTTAAACAAATATGAAGTCATTAAAAACCTCTGTATCAAAGAAGTAATTTGGACCGAAAGCTAGGATCCCATTCTTAACTCACCCTGTTGGTCACAGGTATTTCAGCACATGTGAAATGTAAACCTCTTGTGACAGTTCAGAGATCCAACGCTACCTATGCTCGATAAAGCAGGGCAAGGACAGGCAGATGTAGTAACTTGGCATTTCCCTGCTCTTTTCTGATTTAAGTCCTGAGAATTACTTCAATGGATCTGTGGTTAAAAAACATTCACTCACCCTATAACAATATATCTAAGTGAATGGTATAGCAGCCCACTTACTTCTTCCTCCAAGGCCATTAATATTCATTGGGAATGGAATCATATCATTTTAGAAGGAAAGCTACATCTGTAGAACTTCTATAACAGATTGCATTCAACAGAATTACTTTCTGCCTTTAATCTGCTCAACAGTTTTATCTGTGCTGTCCTGATTGGTTGAACTTTCTTTAGACCATTATAGATTAGAGCTCTGCTGTAAACATGCTAAAAGCTTAGCTTTGTTTATTTTTGCCATTAACAGGGAGAAATCAGGTACAAATGTTCATACAATAGCTTGCAATAGAAAAAGAAAGTGCCCAGTATGGATCAATATATTTTGTTTTTCACAAAATACAACGTACAGGGAAAACAACGAGCAGAGAGATCTCATTAGTGGCTGAGAAGAACGTAATAGAGAATTTATTAAAAAAAAAAAGATATGTAGAGTCTCAGAAACATACACAATAATTTTAATCTATAAACGAAAAATTTAATCAGATGTTCAAAATAGATCAACCACGCTGACCAGCTGCATATAACAGACCCCATAAGTAGTCTAGTAAATTATTGCTAAAGAATATTTATGATTTTGCTAAGTTTATATCACTGTTAGAGAAATCCCGCCAATAGTGATTTTTCTACCATTCAGTTGCAACAGGGTAAAATAATGCAATTCTTAATTGAAAAAACCCCAAACCTCAGAAAAATGGCTTACAAAGTGGTGTTCAAGTAACATTAAAACATGATGGTAAATGCTCACAATTGACTTACAAACAATGAAAGCAGCTGCTCTATCATAAGATTTTAGTATGAATGAGCCATCGCAGCTGAAGCCTCTATGATGGATGTTCCCAATATATTCTTCTATATTCCACAGCTACCCTGCTTGTGAGACTTCTCTGATTACTAGATGCCAGTTGGGGATGGGAGAAAAAGACCATGTTCTTGAACACACTGCAGATAATCCTCTGTGTAGCCAAATTCTATTCCAAGAGAACACTCGTTCTGTGACCGCTTAATATTACTGCTGTACGAGCTCACAATTTCAGCATCTACAATGAGTCCACTAGGATCTTTCCAATTATCCAAAAAACAATATAAATAGCAAAACTCAACCAAATAAAAAACCCCAAGAAGTGTCTACATAGGGTGGGGAAACCAAGAAAGGATTCCAAAAAGAAAAAAGCTGACTGAACAAAACTTATCAGCAAGCGGCTTTATTTTGCAAATTCCAATGAATTGCCATTAGCTATTTCTTTATCTTTTCTCTCTGACAGAAACAGAGTGCTGTTCCAGACCTTAAATATTCTGTCTATGTTGGGCTGGTTAGTGCTCTCGGTTATTTAAACAAAGCATATTCCAAATAGATTGGACTATACATGGAATTTCCTGACAAGTAAAAGTTTGGAGGACCTTAAAAAAAACAAACACAAAAGTATATTAAAATAGACTTTTAGTAGCAAAGGTCAGATATCCAGTATGACCCACCATTTCCTTAAGTGGCACACCACTTTTAAACTGGGCAGTTCCCTGCTGCAGAATACCATACAAGCTCTCTGGATTTGATTGGTTGCTGCTGTCAAACCCAGTACCAGAATTATCCTCGGCTGCTTTTCCAAGGTCAGGGATTTGCAAGCTAACTGTCCTAACATTGTATACTCGAAGCAGACTTTCCAGAGTGTTAATCTCAGTAAAACCATGTTCTTCCATAGCCAGGCAGGTTCTCTGAACTTGTTCAATGCAAGGGGAGAAGGAGCAGATGCGTCCACCTACAAAATAAAACAGGCATTAGAGGAGAGAGGAAAACAACAATTTAATTAATCTTTATTCAAATTCTCTCAATACAGTGCACATACATAATTAAAATACCTAATAAGCATAAGAGATAAAGATCTCCAAGGAGATAACGGTGCAGTTTATAATGGTAACATAAAAATGGTGATAATTTTTCAAGATGCTTCAGCCCACTTTAAGTACAAACATAATGACAGATTAAATCATTTTTGGAATACACACTTAGTATTTGTGGTTCAGCCTTACAACTGATCACTTCAGACCGCTGACTTTTCTTGGAATCAACACATGACCACTGGACTGATGCACTAAACTGAAGTTGACTCATGCAAAAGATGGAAGTGGGTTTCTAACTCTGCTCCACATTACAACATTGCCTTTATAATAAAAGCACAAGAGGACGTGCATGTGCACACACAGACACACAACTGGCTATGTCTGAGACAGATGGCATGTGTAGATATAAAGTAATCTCCATTCCATAGATAGAGTGTTATTAGAACTTTACCCTTTTAGTCAAGCAAGCTTTTCTCATGTCTCCTGATTATCAAATTCAAAACAAAATGTAAAAGGCAATTCAGTAGGGATTTACTGATTGTTAGATCAGGCAGTTTCATGGCATATGCATTAAAACCTTTACACCACAAGACAAAACTTTAAATTATATACTGTTACTTTCCTGTCTATTGAAGCACTCCTTAGACTCTTGCTTTTCAATACTGAGTATTTTTAACCTCTCCCCCCCACCTTTTCAATGTCACCTTTAGAGCTGGGAATAGAACGAGTCAGATTTACTCTAAAAAGCCACAGCCAAATCAGATCAAGGAATTATAGGGACACTGTCTACCATAAATCCAGGTCATGTGGTCTTACTCATGATGTAATGTCTGTCCCATGATGCAACTGACCCTACTGAAAACTTGTAGATGAGAGGAGGGGAATGAAAAAAAGCTGAAGCTATATTATTATGTTCAGATAAAAATGAACATTGATCTGCTTTGCACTCCTTCCCATCTCTCTCATTTTCCATGTCTACTAATCCAAGCAGACCTCCTAAAATCCAGTTATGTAAGCAGTTAAAGAGCCCATGTATTTGACAGCAAAGTATCTGGCTAAAAACAGAGGCCAAACTGGTCCCACATGAGAGCTGGTTTATGTCATTTTTTCCCCCTAAGCTACAGATCTAAAAAAAGAGAGTGTCAGGTATAAGTGTAAGTGCTGCTGTAATGCCCCAGTTACAGTGCAGCAGTGATGTGCTGGACAGTGATTGGGGAAGAATTCTTTCTGTGACCATTAATCCATTTCGCAGTAAGTAGGTTTTGGATTGGATTTTATTTTAATCTTTAAATAGAGTCTTCGTTGTCAATGGTACTTAACATACATCTTCAAAAGAAAGCAGCCTTTTGTCAAGCAATTCCCCAAAGTCAAAATTAAAAAAGCCACCTGTAAAAATTACTTTGGGATGTTGTATAATCCACCAAGCCTGATGACTGCTATTTAGCTGCACATCCATATAGCTAATACCAGTGAAACAGGGTATCATATGTATTCATCTGCACGGCTACCAAAATTACTCTGAAGCTGACAGGATTTCTTTTTTTGGGGGGGGAGGGGGGGAGGAGGGAAGCAGTACACGTTTCTAGTCTTTGTGGATATTACAGCACAGAGAAGTCGGGAGGGAAATTTCTGTTATATAATTAGAAAATTAGTACAATATATGCATGTTGTAAAGAAAGACAATACATTGTCATTTTGTGGGACACCAAACAAGTGTCTCAGTTAAATGTCATTTCACAATAGACTCTTTGTTTTCAGAGAAATAAGATGCAGAAATATCAGTGTTCTTCTAGTGCTTCATTCAGGTTTTTTTGGGTGGTTTATACTGAAATAAAAGCCACAAAGCAAAAGTGCTTTACATTTATAGTAAGTCAATTCTGCTGAGTTAGTTGGACTCTGAAGATTTCAAGATGGCTTTAGATATACAAATCCACAAGACTTGCCAAATGGATGAAGCCTGCACACAGCTGTTGGAATACGAGCCATCAGCAATTCTTGTCAAGTCTTGAAACCACAACATGCTTTTTCTTTCACAGGGTAGTTAAGCTGACCACACAATGTCTATCCCAAATTTGGCAAGGATTACCAAAACAAACTCTGACAGCCCACACACTAGACTGTTTAGAGAGATTGCACAATTCAAGTGTTCAGACTATGTGGTAGTAAAGGAAGAAGAACCTGTTTAAATATGTAGAGAACAGCAGATAATATGCAGATACAGGCCCGTACGCACATACTCTAGCCAGCCAGGGGAAGGCAGGAGCGACACACTGCCTGAGCCTCCCTCCCCCGTGCTCTGGCCAGCCACAGGAAGGCTGGGGATGATTTCCCCGCTTACTTGGGGGACCAGCGGGGTGCATTCACACCCTTATGGTCTATTTACCAAAAAATCACCCCCCCCCATAAATTCCTGCATATGAACTTGGGACAATATGCAGATGGGAACAGCAGAATGGAGGTCACATTGCTTAATGCATTACGGAAAGGTGCTCAGATGCTGTAGTCGTGAAGGTGGTACAAGAACCTGTATGTTTTCAGTTTTTCTACTAATTTTTGATTACCTGTTTCCTCTTGTTATTAAAGACGCAAGGTGTATCCCATAACAAACCTAAAAATCAGCTTAGCTGCAGTAAACAAGCAGCGCTTGGCTTTAAGGCTTCTACCAGTTGGGAGAGAGGTCTCCCAAACTTTTTCCTGTACAGACCAGCCAGCAGGACAGATTTGACTTTGATGATGTTGGTCATTCAGTGATTCTTAGTGAAAGGCTGGAAGCAATTCAGGCGATCATTCTGCAAGTAAATAACAGATCTGAGGAACAAAATGAAAGACTGAAAAGCTCTGACTAACTTGACATTTCTGGAGTAGGAAAACCACTGGAACTTGGGACACAACTGCTCATCTGAAAACTGGCTCAGCCTAATATGATCTGAGGAAGTGGGTCTGGTCCATGAAAGCTTATCACCTATGAAACCATCTTGTTAGTCTTTAAAGTGCTACATAGTCTGATCTTGCTAAAACAAAAGGAAAAACTAACACGGCTGCCTCTCTATTACTATCCTAAGTAATGATGTGAGGCTTGCTGATAAGACAAAGATGGAAAGGCTTGCCATGCCACATCAAGTTATGGAAGTGCGGGGATGGATAGTTTTGAACTCCCCCTCCAGTGAGTTGCATCATGCATCAGACCCTTTGGACTACCGGCTATCCAACAATGCGTACATTACAGGCGTCACAAAGGTGTAAATCTAGTTTCCAGCATTCACAGTTCTTAAGAGCCCTGTTGTCCTTTAGATAGCAGGAGGCACTTAGGATTTAAGAGACTGGAATTTGCATTCCTTTGTTCTGTCATGCGGAGGATTCCCTCATGAATGAAGTGAAGACACGTATGCTCTTCTCATTCACTTGCATGCACCCTGTTCTGTTTCTGGACAATCATGGGGTGAACTGGACCCAATGGTAGTAAAAACAGCTAAAACCCAGAAACTTCCTAACTGAATTTTTCTCAAAGGAAAGCATTCAAAGGAGCCAATCTACTGCTACTAAATTTGTTTAATGAGATCTAGGTGTCATCATAAATTGATAGAGTAATTATCTGAGATTAATCCTGTTCACATTGGGAAGCTGTGTAAGCTTTTTGATCAGAGGAGCTGTCTAAAAATGTTATGTTTATTCATGTATAATGCTTCTGACAAGAACTACAGTTGAGGGGAAGAGACTAATGAATCTGTATGAAAGTGTTCCCCTCCCCCTTCATGTTACAGGCAGTGAATGTTGGAAACGTTTACGGCAGAGGTTAAATCTCACCAAGCTGTAGGCTGGGGATGAGCCCACAGAGTGGCTGGCAGCCACGATAAATAAGCAGGGAATTGAGAGTTCACAGAAGTCAAAGCACAACTTGGGTTGGAAAGATTAAAGAGAAAGATACGAAAAAGGGGTGAGGATAAGAGATAATACTTGGCACTTGCATACTGCGTTGTATTTTCAACATACAGGACAAACATATAATTAATAATGAAGGGACATCCTGACATCCTTAGAAAGGGCTAATGTCTGTTCTAGGTCACATAAATAAAAACCGAGAACAACTAACATTGCTGACTTCAAGAATAATACCAGATTTACACATACGTAGAGCAGAACAGAATTTGGGCCTTGGTGGTTTGCCTGAGCAATGATGAACATCTCTTTGCAATCAAGAGTTTTACTTAGCTAAAAACTGACCTGGTACTTTAGATATGGCCCCAGTTTAAAAAGAAAAACTGGCAATGCACTCCCCTTCCCCCTGGGAATTCTAATGCACACTTCAGATTCAAAAGGATGCAGAATATAAACACAAATGATGTACTCTGTCTTTTGCAGGTTATTATAGGTCATAGGTGCTCTGCTACATCATTTTACCACTGAGGGGTTCTCAACACTGAGCAGAGAATCTGGAATTAGAAAAGCACCATAAAGTTCTATACAAAGGGGCCAATTATTCTGAACTTTGAAAGTGATTCTATGATGTAGGAGACACAATACAGAATTTTGTTTTTCTTAGGAAAAAAGAACACAATTCACTGTGTTGTGGAATTTCAGTGCAGTGTCACAAGAAGAGTGTTAAATTACAAGGATCCCAGAAAACATAGGCACTAATAGTTTGTGGGGGCGAGGTAGCAGTGTCACAGAAAAACATCACTATGGCATTTACTCTGTGCTACTAGAACACTAAAAATATTGCATGTCTAACGGGAGAACAGGATGTCCTTTAAGCAAATGTACATGTGGGTGAGGCAATGAAATTAGAGGATCCTGTTGACAGGGAAAATGAAAGCTCTCTTATTCAGAAAATATTCACTGAATCATATGCCAGACCGTTAGTAAGAGTTGTACATACAATTTTCCACAGACCTCACTTTAATTTTTTTGGGCGGATGCA